CGTGACGGTATGACACGTGACGATACTACGTGTGACGATACTACGCGTGAAGGTACTACGCGTGACGGTATGACGCGTGACGATATCACGCGTGACGATATCACGCGTGACGGTATTACGCGTGACGATACCACGCGTGACGGTACTACGCGTGACGATACCACGCGTGACAATACCACGCGTGACGATACTACGCGCGAAGGTACTACGCGTGACGGTATGACGCGTGACAATATTACGCGTGACGATACTACGCGTGACGGTATGACGCGTGACGATACCACGCGTGACGATACCACGCGTGACGATACCACACGTGACGGTATGACGCGTGACGGTACTACGCGTGATCGTATGACGCGTGACGATACCACGCGTGATGGTACGACGCGTGACAATACCACGCGTGACGGTATGACCCGTGACGGTACTACGCGTGATCGTATGACGCGTGACGATACCACGCGTGATGGTACGACGTGTGACAATACCACGCGTGACAATACTACGCGTAACGATACCACGCGTAACGGTACTACGCGTGACGCTATGACGCGTGACGGTACTACGCGTAACGGTATAACGCGTGATACTACTACGCGTGACGATACCACGCGTGCCAATACAACGCGTGACGGTACGACGCGTGATACTACTACGTGTGACATTACAACACGTGATATTACAACGCGTGATGTTACTACACGTGACGATATAATGCGTGATGATACGAAACGTAAGAATACGACGCATGACGATACTATACGAAATTATACAGCGCAACCTATAATTATCTAACGCGTCATATCTGACGTGCAGCAATCCAACGCGCCGATATCTGACGTGTTGCAATCTAACGCCCTACTATTCCACGGACTATAATCTAACGCGCAGCTCTACAACGCGTCATTGTTCAACAAAACGTTGTCTAACGTGCCGTAATCCAACGCGTCGTAATTTGATGTGTCGTTATCCAGTGTGTGATAATTTAACGCGTCATTATCCAACATGTCGTAATCTAATGCGTTCTTATCCAACGTGTCGTAATCTAATGTGTCCTTATTCAACGTACCGTTATCTAACGAGTCATAATCGAACGTACCGTTATCTAACGGGTCATAATCCAACGTGCCATTATCTAACTCGTCATTATCCAATATGTTGTAATCTAATGCGTTCTTATCCAACGTGTCGTAATCTAATGTGTCCTTATTCAACGTACCGTTATCTAACGAGTCATAATCGAACGTACCGTTATCTAACGGGTCATAATCCAACGTGCCATTATCTAACGGGTCATAATCCAATAAAACATCGCAGTTAAATGCGTGGCAAGACAAATTCCACCCAATGTTGAATTTTTCAAAATTTTTTACCATTTGTTATATCGCATCGTCTACTTAAACATCTCAAACGTCAAACGATACATCCTTTTTGTCCAGGTAACAATGCAAGACACTACACCGAATGACTGACATGATACCCATCCCTGCATAAGTGGGACTACAAGGGAGAAGCCCGACGTATATACTCGACGTAGATTGGCAAAAAGCAGCGCAGCAACGAAAGCTCCTTTTTCTTACGCAAACCCAGGAAACTGAAAGATCGTGACGATACACGTGAAAGATTGAAGAAAGAGTAGAAAATAGAAAGAAGATCGTGTGAACGTAGAAGGATTGATTAAATGCGTGTACTTCGAATGTTCTCTCGTAGATACTACTTCAGCTTCGGTTAATAATAATTTAAACAATTATTCATATTTTGTGATAAATATGAAATGACATATTTTAACCGTAACAAAATGTGAATATATTTTGACCATGGTAAAATATGGTGGTGCAATTTGCATGGGACGTAACGTGTGATCATATAAATCGCATGATCATCCATGTGTTATGTAAATCTGTTAATGTAAACAAACATTTATTTTCGAATACGAGTTTCATGCAAATTATTTCACTGAAAATATATTTTAATCAATACACACTTCATTTTTGTATGATATTCATACGAAGAACACGCGGTATAAAATAAAAGATAAAACAGGTAGAAAAAAGGGGTAAGGGTTTAAAAAGATAATAGCGATGACTCTCATGTGTGCCTACGTTCATGTTCAAAAATCTTATAATAATCGTAAAAGTTTGTGAAAAACACTTTTGATGTAGTAATAAATTTCATGTACATTTTGTTTAATTTGAAATTTTTATAAAATATTGGAAACAAAAAAAATAAAGTGTTCAAATAATTTTTGTGTTTTCTGTAATTTTTATAGTTATATCTTGCACATTTATTGCTACCAAAGTGAACTTATATTATAAACATTTGAAAATACTAATTAATATAAAAATGTATCTCAAGAATTATTATTAATAATCTTTCGGTTGTGATATAATAACATATGTTAATTTAATTCGATTTCATCAGTTAACTCTGAAAAATGTAACAAAACAATCGATATTCTGTATTATCAACAATTCATTAATTGCCAGTTATATTTATGCACAAGGATCGAAATATAAATGCAAATTTTCATATATGCAAATGGATATTGACACCAATTATACAATCAATTTTATGTTATCAATCATGTAGGATTATTTAATTACTCCTCGTTACTTACATTTCTCACCTTGATTATATAAAAACTTCAATTATATAAAATAGCAACAGAAATAAATCTCTATACCATAAAATAGTGGAATTTAGTAATAAACTTCATAATGTTAATTAAACTTAAATTTGGTAGCAAAAGTGCATCGATGTAAATAAACATTTCAAAATTAATTTAAACCTTGTTCATATGTAAATGATCCTACGTAATCATCTACATTACCCATCTACCAATGGGTAAGCACATTTACGTATGGGAACAATAACCCATTTTATATGGACACGTGTATAGGGTGTCCGTGAAGTGTAGGACCAAATTTACTGAATCTATCAATACAGTAAAAATTTGTTATCAATGTATAGTACAAAATGTTCTATCGAATAATCACATGCATTCAAATTAATTAAGAAACAAGTAACACTCAAATATTGTTCACACATTGTAAGTATCAACTGGTACGACGGCCATTTTGTCGTACTAATAGTATAACGGCCATTTTGTCGTACTGAAAGTGTAGCGGCCATTTTGTCATTGCAAAAGTGTGCTGGCCATTTTGTTATAGCAAAAGGTATAGTAGCCATTTTGTTGTAATAAAAGGTATAGTAGCCATTTTGTTGTAATAAAAGTTGGTGACCATTTTGTTGTATTGAAAGTATGGTGGTCATTTTGTTGTACTAAAATTATGGTGGTCATTTTGTTGTGCTAAAATTATGGTGGTCATTTTGTTGTATTAAAATTATGGTGGTCATTTTTGTTGTACTAAAATTATGGTTGTCATTTTGTCGTATTAAAAGTATGAATAGCCATTTTATCACAGTAGAAATATGGTGGTCATTTTGTTATACTAAACGTATGGAGGCCATTTTATAATGGTAGGTGGCCATTTTGTCAGAGTAAAAGTATAGTGGCCATTTTGTTACAATAAAAGTATCGGGTAACCTACAGATTTGTTGAAAAGTTTATATATAAATATAAAAAGTAAAAATGGTAATACTACGTGTCATATTTAGTAAATAAATATAAAATTGTTTAAATTTTTAAAAAATTACTAGGAACTGGTTGACTCAGTAGGTTAGATTAATATTGTATTGTACTTATTGTATACAAAATTCATCAAGAGCTTGAAGCATAATAATATAAATAATTAAATGTAGCTTTAACTGTAGATTGCTTCTGACTTACTATAACTACAAAATATCTGACCACTCATATTCACTCGACTACAACATAACCTTTACACTCAGAAATCCTCATTTATTTCATAAAGTTTCAAAATTTGGTCCCAACGGTTACGAACACCCCTCGTGAAAGTCATCGATCAAAAACTCAAAATGGCGATATCACAAACCCATGACCATATCGAAGAATGACATATTTCCCTAAAAAGCAAACCGGAAGTGTCATCACGGTACACTCTCCTTGATGCAAACGAGAAAACCAAAAAACAGAAAAACAACATATTAAGGTAAAAACAAAAGTGTATCCAGGATAATGACTGAACCAAACAAACATTGGCTGCGCCTCCAAAAATCCTGACATTCCTGATTTAGCTGAAACGTTACGGGTAACTTCATTGGAAACAACGTTAGCGAGAAGGATTTTTACGAATTCGATCAGAAATCGGTCCCTAATTTACCGACGTGACGCAGAGTAGGTTTCAGAGATGTTTATGCGAAAGATTTGATGAAAAAATTAATAATTGTGATGATGTATATCCAAGTATAGTTTCCTTTTAAATTATAGCGTGTTATATAACATAGTATACACGAGTATACTGCACTCGGTATCTGTCAAACTATCTATAATCAAACTAGTACAGTATAACCGAGTACAATTCACATTGTATACTAAAAGCCGGCAATACTACAAATTATGATGCCACATGTGTAGTGGCCATTTTGCTACAACTCTAGTGACCATTTTGTTATAACTCTAGTGGCCATTTTGCTATAATTATAGTTATACCACCCAGTTGGTAAAGTCAGATCCTTTCGTTCGATTCATCAAAAATCCTCGCAACGTTTCAACATGAGCCCATAAAATTTCAGCTAAATCTGGGGTAAGCTTCTCGGAGGTTCCGCCGAAACATTATAAGAGATACAGATTGTTAGACAGACAGAGAAAGAGAGTTAGCCATGATAAAAAGACAGACACACAGAGATGATAGAAAGAGGAAAGTAGAGAGAGAGATAGAGATAGATAGATAGATAGAGAGAGAGAGAGAGAGAGAGAGAGAGAGAGAGAGAGAGAGAGAGAGAGAGAGAGAGAGAGAGAGAGAGAGAGAGAGAGAGAGAGAGAGAGAGAGAGAGAGAGAGAGAGAGAGAGAGAGAGAGAGAGAGAGAGAGAGAGAGAGAGAGAGAGAGAGAGAGAGAGAGAGAGAATGCATTACCGCAATGCTAGCCCGAGATTGTGCGGCCTTAATGTGGGCTTGAAGGTGCAGAGGGGGGTGGAAATAGCGGCAGGGGTCCCGATTGCATCGGCCCTTGACAGCGTCCATGCAGACCGTCACAGAGCCGTCCTCGTTCGCCTGCACCGTCTCGAGGGGGTGCGCAAACCGGCACTCCGTCTCGCCGCGTTTGCACGCCCCGCGTTGAAACTCGCGACATACCTACAGCAAGAGCGAACACGCATGGCATGGCACTCTATCTATGTGTCCAAAGGGGGCTGGCTAAGGGGGCGGAAGGGGCGCAAAACCGGGGGTTAGGCTCCGGGAGGTTCCGTCAGGCGTTTCCTGTGTACAGTAGAGTCTCCGTAACTGCGCGCGGCGCGGGGACCGAAACCGAGCAGTTACGGCGAACGCAGTTTCTCGCAGCGATTCACCTGTTATCTGGCGATTTATCCTCAGGATTTGCACGCGTTGGGAGCTGAGAAGATGGCAGTTGGCTCTTAACGCAGTGGATCCTTCTTACATAGAACGCGCATGCATCCCTAACTAGCTGTAGGACGTAAAAGTGGAGGACGGGAACTCTTCTCGTCTGGCTGTCAACTTTTCAGCTGCCAACAGTGCACGACAATCGCGAGTAGTTCTGGCTAGCTGCTCGAGATTCTTATCGGGGACTAATGACCGTTGTCGAGCAGTTACAGGGACTTTACTGTACTATGCGCACGCCACAAGATGAGCTCTAGGAATTCGGAGAAGCACTTGTGTCTCGGTTTGTGTGGCTGGTGTAACTATTTGTACGCTGTAGCACTTCGGGTATCCTTTCGAGACTCGTCTTGTGACGGGCGGACAGTGTGGAAGTATTGGAAGCTCTTATAATGATTTCTATGAGTCGTTATTGTATTTCGATGAAATATTGTGTGTTATGGGGGTGATGTCTTCTGAAGTACGTTTGAACAATTCGAAAAATTCAAACAATTAAAACAATTCGAATAATCCAAACAATTCAAACATTCGAATAATTCGAACAATTCAAACAATTCGAATAATTCAAACAATTCAAACCATTCGAATAATTCAAGCAATTTAAACAGTTCGAATAATTCAAACAATTCAAACAATTCGAATAATTCAAACAATTCAAACCATTCGAATAATTCAAGCAATTTAAACAGTTCGAATAATTCAAACAATTCAAACAATTCGAATAATTCAAACAATTCAAACCATTCGAATAATTCAAGCAATTTAAACAGTTCGAATAATTCAAACAATTCAAACAATTCGAATAATTCAAACAATTCAAACCATTCGAATAATTCAAGCAATTTAAACAGTTCGAATAATTCAAACAATTCAAACAATTCGAATAATTCAAACAATTCAAACCATTCGAATAATTCAAGCAATTTAAACAGTTCGAATAATTCAAACAATTCAAACAATTCGAATAATTCAAACAATTCAAACAATTCGAATAATTCAAACAATTCAAACAATTCGAATAATTCAAACAATTCAAACAATTCGAATGATTAGAACAGTTTGAGTACTTGAATAATTAGAACAATTACAGTAGATTGAATAGTTTTAATGATTACAGCAAGAGCGAACACGCATGGCATGGCACTCTATCTATGTGTCCAAAGGGGGCTGGCTAAGGGGGCGGAAGGGGCGCAAAACCGGGGGTTAGGCTCCGGGAGGTTCCGTCAGGCGTTTCCTGTGTACAGTAGAGTCTCCGTAACTGCGCGCGGCGCGGGGACCGAAACCGAGCAGTTACGGCGAACGCAGTTTCTCGCAGCGATTCACCTGTTATCTGGCGATTTATCCTCAGGATTTGCACGCGTTGGGAGCTGAGAAGATGGCAGTTGGCTCTTAACGCAGTGGATCCTTCTTACATAGAACGCGCATGCATCCCTAACTAGCTGTAGGACGTAAAAGTGGAGGACGGGAACTCTTCTCGTCTGGCTGTCAACTTTTCAGCTGCCAACAGTGCACGACAATCGCGAGTAGTTCTGGCTAGCTGCTCGAGATTCTTATCGGGGACTAATGACCGTTGTCGAGCAGTTACAGGGACTTTACTGTACTATGCGCACGCCACAAGATGAGCTCTAGGAATTCGGAGAAGCACTTGTGTCTCGGTTTGTGTGGCTGGTGTAACTATTTGTACGCTGTAGCACTTCGGGTATCCTTTCGAGACTCGTCTTGTGACGGGCGGACAGTGTGGAAGTATTGGAAGCTCTTATAATGATTTCTATGAGTCGTTATTGTATTTCGATGAAATATTGTGTGTTATGGGGGTGATGTCTTCTGAAGTACGTTTGAACAATTCGAAAAATTCAAACAATTAAAACAATTCGAATAATCCAAACAATTCAAACATTCGAATAATTCGAACAATTCAAACAATTCGAATAATTCAAACAATTCAAACCATTCGAATAATTCAAGCAATTTAAACAGTTCGAATAATTCAAACAATTCAAACAATTCGAATAATTCAAACAATTCAAACAATTCGAATGATTAGAACAGTTTGAGTACTTGAATAATTAGAACAATTACAGTAGATTGAATAGTTTTAATGATTCAAGTTATTCAAATAGTTTTCAGTAGAATATTCAAATAATTCTTGAGTAGAATACTCGAGTAGCTCGAATATTCGAATAATTCAAATACTCGAATAATTGGAATATTCGACTGGCTCAAATATTCGAATAATTCAAATACTCAAATAGTTCAAATGCTTGAATAATTAGAATATTTGAATATCTCGAATACTTGAATAACTAAAGTACTCAAATAATTCAAATACCACAATAATTCGAATATTCCAACAATTATGAACCTCGACTATAATAGTCATTTAAAATGAAAATAAATAATCGAATAATTTGAACAAATAAATAATTTCCTAACCCTGAGGTCACACAATATTTCAGCAAAAGGCACATCACTTCTCGTCCTCCCATCGTCCAAACATTTTCAATGCCTCAAAAATATTTCATGAACACCACAGTCCACTTCTTCTCCAGGATTGAATCCAGTGATTTCAGATCTGGTTATCACCTACGTACCTTATTGTGATACCTTCTTCGTATTTATTGATCCATAGGGAATTGATAGGAGGGAGTGTCAAACAAGGTTATTTCAAGGTGCTTGTTACCCAGAAGAAGTGAACTACAACGTTTACAAAACGTCCGTAAGACAGTCGAACAAACGAGGACGATGAAAATTCGATATGTGATAAACGACTGTTCCGTGTATGTTTGCATGTGTGTGCACGCCTGCGTGTATGTGTATAGGTGATTTTCGATATATACAATGTTCTTTATCTTTTCTTGGCTCTTCTTCGAGAGTAAGCTGCTAGATAACGGGATCGACAAAGCGGATTCTTTATTCTTTTAACCCTTTCAGTGAGAACACTTTATCATGTCGCTTTTTATCATAAGTTTTGTAAGATTCTTTATTTGGGTTTGAGACTTCGGGGTATGGTAGGAAGAAAGATGAATGTTTTGAGATTTTTTAATCCGATCAGATTCTTTAGTTAAAGTAGGTGAGAAGATAAATAAATAACTAGATATATAGATAAACAGATAAATATTGAATGGATAAAGAGATGAATAGATAAATGATTAAACAAATGTATAAATAAACAGGTAAACATACATATATAAATAGACAAATAAAAAAATGAATAAATACAACAATATAAAAGATAACTAAATGACTAGATAAAGAGATAAATAAATTGATAGATAAACAACTACATAAGCAGATAAACCAATACACAGATAAATAGATAAATACATAAACAGATAGATAGATAGATCGGTAAATAGATAAAAAGATCAACAGACAAATACAAAAATACATGAACAGAAAAATACAAATAAATCTAATTTTCAATAAAATTATCATGTTTTAAAATCATCTACTACATTCATCTTTCTGAACTCCCCAAAGTCTCAACCTTCTATTAAAAAAATATATTAAATACTTCCACAGACCTGCCAGCTAGCACTCTTGCGGCAGTGTAAATAAACCTCGAGCACAGTCGAACATAATCTCAATTTTTAATAATTCTACTGATTTATAATTTCAAATTGTTCTTACATTTTCTATTCGTTATTCTTTCATGTAACCATATGCTGAATATATGTACATATTGCATAGATTATCTTAAGAAATTTGTGCAGGTCTTAATTTGTGTTCTTCAAAATTTTTTAAGATTAAAGATTTTATCCGTGAAGATTTATATATACATTCACTAATTCTGAAAGGGTTAAATTCGAAGTTGTCAGGAAGAAAAAAGCAAAGGAACATTTACGAGAGAAGTAGAGGATAGATTCAGTAGACTCTCCTTATATTGCCATATTTTATTATGGCGTTTATAAGACGTAAGGTGTTCTTTTAACAGTTTAAGAGAATGTTTCTAAACAATAACAAAAATTATTTTCTAGTACAGTCGACGGCAATATAACGAGAGCGAATGAAGGAGAAAAGGCACGAAAGAAGTTATAGAGAGCGATTCAAAAGTGGTGTTCAAAGAAACATGTTCTACTCACCGTGATGAAGAAAGGTCGTACATACACGGGTCTGCAAATTCTCTTTGTTTATGACAGACTTTGGCAAATATGCAATATAAGAAATTTGTTCGATTGTTTTCTTATTTATATAGAAAATCGAATACGAAATAGCAGGTGAAAATAAAGCACGAAAATGTTTAAATCTCCGTAAAAATAAATTTACTATTTATTTCAATTATTTTTCCTAAATGTAAATTTGAAAATGAAAAAAATATTTGTATGTAGTAAAATATGATATTGGTGCTATTGTATCTTAATTGAAAAATCACATTTATGTAATTCATATAAAAAATATTTTTTCAGTCAGGAATTAAAGAAGATTAAGTTTTATAAACATCTGACGTATTTTGTTAAACAGAAAATAAATTCTAAACGTGACCACTGATAATTTTTGTTAAATTACAATTAATCAAATTACACCAAATTACATCAAATTAGTTAAATTACATTTCCTTTAGAAAAGCAAGTATTATATCTTCGAATTTTTAATCTTCTCAACTTCTTCAAATATTACTTCTCCAATATATGGAAGTTTTTCGTTTAAAAATTTGACTACCTAATTTCAGTCGAAACATTTGATATCGTGGGTCACAGTTGACCCAGGGTCCATTGTCTTAGGGTTAATGAGGATTATGAAGA